CCCGCAGCTGCTGCTGCCGTTGCTGCTGCTGCTGCTGCTGCTGCTGCTGCTGTTGCTGCAGGAGGCTGGAGGCTGGAGGCTGGAGGCGGCTGGTGCATTAAAGGCGAGGCTCCTCCCAACCGCGTCAGCAGTCCAGGACTCTCCCAGTAGCGGTGGTGGCCGAGCGGAGGCTGCGGCTGCTCTCTGCGGCAGCGGGGCGCACGCAGCCGCGATCCGGCACCTGGGCAGCCAGCAGCTCGCTTGCAGGCTCAGGTGAAAAGCATAGACGCGCTCTCTCAACCTCCCCCTGCCCGCGCCACGCAGCTGAGGGCGGCGTTTACTCTGCCGCCCACAGCCCCCACAGCTTGCAGCCTGTCTCCGGACACCTGCGCTTCAGGACAGCAAAGAGAAGGGGGTGGGCTGAGGTAGGCAGGAAGTGGACATCCAGGTCCCTTTGCTCACCCCTATGTGGTGCCTGCAGCCCCTTGATGGAGTTCAAGGGCAAGGCCTGGGATTCCAAACCTCAACAGAGAGGACAGAATGGGAAAAGAGCTTCTCAGCGCCCAGCTTAAGCCCTCTGTGCTAGGAATAGAAGGGGAAACAGCGGCCAGAAGTTTTCTGCCATCACAACTGATCTCTTCATTCAAACAGCCATAACTGCAGGCGTTTATGTCTACACAGGCAGAGGGAAGCAGAGGGCTGAGTTGTGTGTGAATCCAGTCAACACAGTCAGTCTGAACAGTGCCCCTTCCCTCGCCCTTTGCACTTTGTTTTGGGGAAGTGCTGCCGGTCTTCCTGTGGGTTTTGCTTGTGAAGACAGGACACTGCGGGGCCGGCTTACATTTGCTCTCAACATGCCTGGTCCCTCGGAGCCCTGTGCCCACAGAGAGCCACTGCCACCCTGAGGGAATTTCAAAGATCCGGTGAATACAAAAAAGAGGCCTGTCTTTCTACTTCAACGAAGAGGAAAATACCGAATTCCCTACCACCCCTACCCTGCTTCCCCAAATTGCAAATTCCGTATTTGAAAGCAAAATTCTATCATTATTGTTATGAAACCAAAATCATTAAGTCACTGGAAAGCCAATTTGAAAAGACATTTCCCCGGTTTCCTCTTGTAGCCGGGATTCGTTTCCGTGGGTGTCATTGTAGGAGGAGACATAAGCAAATGTCTTGCTCAGTTAAGCTCCTGGAGTTTAGCAAGATGAGCCCAGAGGGACCTGTGAGTTAATTATATACATACAATGCTTCGGCTAACACCATTTAGAAAGTATTTGAAGTTAAAAACAAAAAGGGGGAGGGGAGACAAGTCTTCAACTGAGGCTGGGTTGCCATTAGATTTCCATGAAGAATAGATGCTCTGGCAGGTGGAAAATGGAATTGTCCCCTCCTCCAGGAAGCGACGGCATGTCTCGGGAAGGACAGAATAGGAATATCCTTTGATATGATTGGAGGGAGTTCAGCTTGCAAGAGAGTCCATGTTATTCTCATCAGGTGGTTAAGTCTTATGTGCTTGTTTGACTATTTGTTCAAAAGTCACCTAGGACATTCCAGTAACAGATGAAGACTGGTGCACGTTGATTTAATCCTCTTCAGCACCAGTTGCTGAGCTGGGTTTTCCATGTGACAAGCTGTGTCCATCACCAAGGCTGCAGTGGTCAGCTCATCAGTAGTTGTACACTCTAGTTTCTCTTGCAGATTGCCACAACGGGGCACGGGGAGAAGGGGTAGAGGGGAGGGGAAAGCGAAGTTCATCTCAAAGTGGCAAGAAGACATCTTGCTTTGAGTTGAAATGAGCTTAAGTTGCAACAGGAGGCCTTGGCAAAATCATATTTGGGAAATTCTCCCTGTCATCTTCCTGGAACATGTGCTGGATTGGAACAGAGCTGCATGATGAATCAGGTAGGCCCAGGCTGTGCTTGAGGAATTTTCCACTGTAACCAATGAAAGGAATGTCCCCTCCATAGATCAAGCCTCTGGGCTTCCTACATTTGCTCTTTCATGTTCCCTGAAAAGTTCCTCCTGCATTTATTCAACACTACAGCCCACCCTCCCTCAAGACAAAAGTTCTGGATTAAGTTTCTATTTTGTGGATCACACTGTTCTACTATGAACAACGGGGAACTAGCCCCTCCACCTAAAACCAAGAAAAATAAAGCTTTGGCTCAGGGCTTTAATACAATGACATGTAGTAAAGGAGGTAAGAGTCTGAAGGAAGCCCTGTACAATCCTTTAGTCTGGTAAGAGGACGGCATAGACCAGTGGTCGACAAACTCATTAGTCAACAGAGCCAAATATCAACAGTACAATGATTGAAATTTCTTTTGAGAGACAAATTTTTTAAACTTAAACTATAAAGGTTGGTACATTGTTATTAACTTAATTAAGGTACTCCTAAGGCTTAGGAAGAGCCACACTCAAGGGGCCAAAGAGACGCATGTGGCTCGCGAGCCGCAGTTTGCCGACCACTGGCATAGACCATTTCTCAGAAGGCCCACTGACCTGCTTTCTATTCCTCCAATATGTCAACTTCTTTCCTAAAGCATTTGGCATTTGCACTTGTTACCCCCTATGCCCCTTCCTTGTGTTCTTGCCATTCCTCAGCATCTTAGCTGAACTGTTCCTATTTTATTGAGAAACTAGAGGCCCGGTGCACAAAAATTTGTGCACTTGGTGGGGGGGGAAGGGGAAGTCCCTCAGCCTGGCCTGTGCCCTCTTGCAGTCTGGGACCCTTCAGGAGATGTCCACCTGCTGGCTTAGGCCTGCTCCCTGGGTGATTGGGACTAAGCTGGCAGTCAGGCATCCCTCTGGCAGCCCAGGAGCCCTTGGGGGATGTCCATTTGCTAGTGGGGAGCAGGCCTAAGCTGCAGTTGGATATCCTTAGCACTGCTGAGGAGGCGGGAGAGGCTCCCACCACTACCGCTGTACTGGCAGCCATCAGCCTGGCTTGTGGCTGAGCAGAGCTCCCCCTGTGGGAGTGCACTGACCACCAGGGGGCAGCTCCTGCATTGAGTGTCTGCCCCCTCGTGGTCAGTGTGTGTCATAGTGACCAGTTATTCCCAGTCATTCTGCTGTTAGGGTCAATTTGCATATTACCCTTTTATTATATAGGATACTCTGACAGCACCATAGTCCCTGCTGCTATTTTCTGTCTCTACATCTACTTGGCCTTCCTCATGGCACATTGCATTTTGCAATAGCTGTTTTCTTATTGTTGTTTATCATTTCCAATATATCTCTGATAGTGTCTATTACTTAGTAGGTGTACAATTATATTTATTGAGTGGAGATAAATATTTCTTGAATGAATGAGTAAATTACTGAGTTTGTTAAAGTGATATTTAGGTTTAGAGTTCTACCCTTACTAAAGTGCTTGCAATAAAAAAAAACCAAAAACCCAACCCTGACAACAAAACCTGTTGTGAATCACTAATTACTAGCTTGTAACTCCTATTCTTATTGAAATAATTGTTCTTACCCATTTTGTAAGTATATGCACAAAAAAATTTACTGAGCATTTAGTAAATGCCAAGAGTTGTTCTAGGTGCTGGGGATATGGTTAAAACAAAAGTTTCTTCCTTAACAGAACCTAAATTCTATAATCTGAGTTTAATATGTGCTTTCTTAGAAATATAACAAATGCATATCAATCAATAACTATAGCTATATGTTACTATAGCATAGTGTTCACTGCCAAGGTTCCAATATCAGGCAAAGCTGATTTTTCAGACACTTATTGTGAATGTGAGCAAGTTACAAGATCTCCCTAAGCCATGTGTTGTTGTTGTTTTTAATCGATAAATTAGGGAGATAAATACAGGGTATTTCAAAAAATGTATACACGCTTTAACAGCTGATAGCTCCCACTTTTGAAAATGAAATGTATTTTAATAAACACTGCCTTTAGAATTATTCAAAATGTGTGTATACATTTTGGGGAGACACCCTATACTTCATGGAGTTACTGTAAGGATGAGATGAGATAATGCTTGGAAAGAATACATTACTATTACTCATTGAGTATTTACTATCATCACCACCATCAATAGTAAACCAATATTTAAGCACCTACCATATCAGCTACCGGGATAGGACTGGAGGTTCAGCAACATGGATGCATAAGACGTATAATCAGCCTCTGCTATGTCATGGAACTTAGTGTCTAATTCACAGTTTATGTAAAGGGGGCCACAGGCTTCAAAAGGGTCAGCAGAGGACACTCTGAAAGCCTGACCTAATTCAGGCTTGTGCTTGACACAGAAAAGGCCAATTACAAATACACAGCCTTCTTACGTTACACTGTTCAGCATGACAGCACGTGGACACATTCTTTTTTATCACCCTTGTCATGGTCCCCTTCCCCCAACACTCCCCTCTACCCTCCCCCAAGTTAGATTAGTGCTGCCCACCCTGGAACCTTTCAGGTCATCCTGTCCAATTAGCACATTAAATATCTACAATTTTATTAAAACCTTTGACCTCAGC